GAAAGATTTTAAGATTTCACCTGACATTTGCTTATACTTTTCTCCAGTTCATTAAAGCCAGAAGTAAATGATGAGAGAATTCTTTCTAGAGGTCATTTTGGCTCATTCCCATAGAGTTTTACATTGTCACATCCTGAGGCCAATGGTTTTAATTAAGGCCAAGTATTCAGCTAAAGTAGCCATAATCCATATAATCCATAATCCATCCTGATGCTGTCTGCTGGATTGAGTGGACTTGCCCACTAGTGGTGATTAGACAGGGTTGAATCTGCAACCATGGAGGGGGAAAGAGTTTTAAAATATATCAGGGATGGATGGGGACAGTTTTAGGAGGACTAACAGGAAACTACTTTCATGTCTTTCCAAGCAAGCTCATTTTTTTGTTTTAGAAATTGCTGAATTGTTTATAGTAATATTCTAGTATAGTGATATGAACATTTCTGTCCCCTTATGAAAAATGATGCACTCAATATTTTTCTTATGATTGTCAGGAGCCTTGCTTGTATATGGAGCATACTGGAGATATATTCTCTAGGAAACCTTCCTTTCTAGAGACTCTCCAATGCTTTTTAGAAGAAAGAAACTTGAAACTGTATCTTCTTGCAGCAAAGCTGCTGGAGAAATCAGGTTGAAAGGCAAACAGATCCCTCAGGGGGAGAAAGCTGTGTTGGGGATTTCTGAATGGATGACTTTGTACCTGTTTTAAAGATCAAACAGTATGAAGATCTCCCCCTCCCCCCCCCGCCAAACTTCAAAGCAATAACTTGCTCATGCAGATGGACATAAAAGCTAATGGCCTGATATAAGAAAAATGTTCAACCTATTTCTTTCTTTCAAGCATGTTATAAAAAAGCCCACCTGAATATGTGACTCAGAAGATCATTAATGGATAAGGGTGTTACAGCCAGTTGGCCTTGTTTCCATTAGCCTCCCTTTCCCTGGGTTGTGTTGGTTCATTAGATGAAAAGCTTATGCTATAGCAGAGGCAGCCTCTTGAATGGTGCCCCATTCAACTCCCAGGAAGAACTGCTCAGCCTCTAGCCCTTTCATTTTCATCAGTTACTGGGATCCTTAACTCCTCAGTTAAATGATGGAAAGCAAGGTGAAGAGTCAGACAAAGGTTGAATTCCATTCCCCAATCATCTGAAGAGTAGATAGTTTCTCAATAGCTTGTCTTTGTCCTCAAGCACTAATCTAAAAATGTGCTGAAGCACTGAACAGCAGAGCCAGGAATCCAATGTCCTACTGACATGCTTTTATCAAAATAAAATGCACCACTGAAGGAAAATCCCAGCAATGCAAAATCTAAGGTAAACTGCCAGGCAATTCTGCATTTTACCAGTATCAGACCTTGACCAGAATTGCTGAGTGAAAGGATGCATATGACTGAGCAGAAGTTCAGGGTAATTCAGTTTTCTGAAAGAAGCTGTTTATGTAACTCTGCAAAAGGTGGTACACAGAAGAAGGTCACAGCCTGCTGTATATAATCTGTTTTCTTAAACTGCAGGGTATGGAACAAAGGAAGGCAGATCAATCATATTTGGTTGGTTGGTTGGTTGGTTGATTGATTGATTGATTGATTTAGGAAAACACTTTAAGCGTGAGAGGTTCAGCAGTGGAATCCATTAGATGGATGGTGGTCCCCTTTTTGCTGCGTGTCATCAAAAACAGGATGGGCAGAGGCTGAATAAATTTGTATCAAGAGGTTATTTGTTCTGTGCCACCCACTTCTTTCCTTTTCCCATTTCTGTTCCTTGGTAGGCTACACATCACAGAAAGTGGTCCTCAGCCTAAAAAAAGATACTCATCCTTTTAACTGTTAAAGACTTCGAAGCTCATGATGTTTGAGGGCTTCTTCCCCAAATATTTTGGAGGTGGGGGTTGAAGAAAGACAAGTAATCTAATCTGATGTTTAGGACCAGAAAGGGGCCTCCTCCCCCCCAGAGAAAGTACACTTGCGCTGAGAGACTTTCCCGACCAGCAGCTCAAGCCTTTCCAGTGTATGTTTAAATTAAAGTGCAATATTTTCAAGATGATTTTATATTCTTCTGATTTGTGCTGATATTCATAGGGCTATAGTAGTAGTTAGTTTTGCAAGTCTAGGTTGGAAGATCTCTTGCTGCCTCCAGCTGGTCAGGAGCTGAACATCTTTTGTACTGACTCAGGTCCTGCTCTCAGGACATTTGAACATTCCCAGGTCATACATTAACAAAAATTTCTAAAACCCCCCTTCCATAAAAATAGAAGAAAATAACTTACAAGCATCTTCAACCCTCCCTTCCCCCCATGGCCATGTGTTCAACTATATTTGTCTGGCTATTTGCAAGGAAAAAAACCATAACTTTTAGGAGGGGCACTGGATGGCCAAAATAAAAAATGTAAATGAAATTGGGGAATTAAATAAGAACTTGGAGAATCAGTAGCAGCTTTGTAGGGACATTTCCCCCCAGTTTCCCCCAGTTAAGGGAAATGCCTACAAAAGGAGATATTTTTGGCAAGTGACTCAAGTACAGGAGATGTGTTAAACATATTTTTGTCATATATGCTTAATCACTACTTTAACTGTAGTTTTCTCTGTTAAACATTTCTAGTTAATACTGCTAGTTTCCGATAACTATTTGAGGTGAATATCATTTTTTAGAATAATAAAGCTATTATTCTATATCTACATTGACCTGCCTTATTCAGCTCTTGGATTTAGGACAAAATGTTGGGTTCCTTGTACCTGCAGATGAAGGCAAGTAGGAAGAAGGATTTTCCATTTTGCCTGGACCAGAAGCAGACAAGGAAAATAATCCCAGAATAAAGCCAGAGGTGGTGGTGGCAGCATACCAACAAGGAAGGAAATTGTGATGGTCTTAGTGGCAGCCAGCCAGAGGAAAGGGCTGAAGCTGGCAGAAAAGCTACAGAAGGGATCAGGTATGAGCTGGAAAGAATAGGGATCACTAGGCTACACTTTTTTTTTTTGAGGAGAAGGGGAAGGGATATTTTATATAGAGGTATGGGATGTGCGTTTTGCATATTTATTGGAACAAAGAAATAAGCCCATTGATTCAGTGAGGAACAGACTTTCCTAAAGAATTGCAAGTGGCCCCAACAGCCTCATCAGAATTCTCTTTTCCCTGTATTTGTTGTCTTCTGTTTCCTTGGTATCCAACAGACTACAGAACTCTTGATCTGGAGGTGGTAGATCTGCACCACCATTATCTATTTACTGTTCAAGGTTTGGACATACGCTTTTTTCAGCTAGCCAAGAATTTTTGAGTGCTACTTAGGCATGATGAAAAGAAAGGAAACCCTGAGTCTTTTTCTCAGGAGATTATGACTGGTAAGATATCTAGGGAAATGCTCTCAAGGAATTACAAGAAAAGGAGAGATAGGTGTGCTGCCTGGGGACCAGGAATGGAATCCCAGTTGATTAAGACCATCAATTACTTAAGTCTATGTTTGTATCTGTTTGTATTCAGCACAGTTTGTTTTGCTGGAATAGATGTGGATGTGCTACTAACCAGATAGAAAATGGCTAGACACCCTGTGGCTCAGTCTTTCAGGGATTTTGGATGCTGTAAGCATGCTCAGCAGGAGCTACAGAGGGATGTACCCTGCAAGCCTGAGCAGTATGCTCAATCAATCTGTTGGAGGAGTTGGGTTTAGACCCATTCCAATGATTCAAGTCATGGGAACATGAATTCCAGAAAGAATTCCAGAAAGGATTTTTCTTGTCCTCATTTGTATCCTGCCTTTCTAGATAAATACAATCAAGGTGGTTTTCAAACCCTTATATTAAGCAATAATAACAGAACAAAGTGTTGACTGAATAGACTGCAGCTCAGTCCAAGCAAGACTGAGTGGCTTTGGGTCTTAGGGTGTTCTAGATCCAATGATCTACCATCTTTAGTTCTGGATGGCGTGACACCACCTCAGGCAGAACTGGTGCACAATTTAGGAGGGCCTCCTGGACTCATATCTCTTTTAAAGATTTGAATGTGTTCCTGGGCATGGGGATCAGCAGATGAGTTGGAGCCTGTGAGATGCTGTTATTTTATTGTTGATTGTGTTTGCCCTCAGTTGCTATATAGCTTTTATCCTAATGTGTGTTGATGTTTATTTTTCTATTGTGTTTTTTATGTGATGTTAGCCACCCAGAGTTGTTGTGGCGAGATAAGCAGTCATATAAATTGAATAAATAAATACATAAAGTGACAAGGACCCTTTACAACAGAAATGTCCAGCAATGAAGGACATTGAAAAGAAGAGTAATTCATGAGAGGTGGTTCTCCAGTCTCTTCTGCAAAACCTCCAGGACAACCCATAACCTCTGGAGCTAGCCTGTTTCATTATTGCACAGATCTTACTATTAGGAATTTCCCCCTCATATCTAGCCTCTAAGTTCCAGTCTTCTGTGAAGATGCAGTTCTCTGAAAGATCAAGCAAACCAATCTCATTGGCAAACAAGCTTCTTCTGCAGCAGCTTCCACTTTTGGGCTGACTGTCTGAAAAGGATGGGTTATCTCCTCTTGCCCTTCCTATGCCCTCAGGACCCCTGCTGAAAGAGCAGGAAAAAATATCAGAAGTGATTTTATACAAGGCAGGGCAGACTTAATCATAACCACCATTACCACTTAAGCACCGAAAAAGAGGCTGGATCTAGGAGTGTCTTCAAGCTCTGTGGGCCTGTTTTAGGCTGACTACCATCCCATCTTAAATAGGCTGTAGGCCTACTCCTAGAAAATAAAGCACTCCAAGCAGCAATAATTCAGCATTTAAGCTTCATTTTATTCACCTTCATCTGATCTCAAACAGCCCTTCTTCTTGGTTTATAGCTTTTCTAGAATCAGATAATGGAAATTAGGCATATTGAACTGGATGTCAGTTGCATAGTGAGGAAATCACAGTTCACATGTTCAGAGGCTCTCTTCTCATATAGAAGCTAAACAATATGGGAGACACAACACCACTTTCTGAGACTACACTTCAGTTAGGACAGGAACAGTTATAAAATGGGGTTGCCTATCCTCATAAGGTGACTCAGAAAAATCCCACAGTTAATGAAATCCAGAGTCCCTGAGAGATCCTGGGTTGCTTCATCTTCCATCACAAATAATCTAATATGCAACCAAGAATTTAGAAAAAGAGACTTATAGGGTGGTACATTAAAAAAAGTGTGAACTTTTAAATCCACAGTCAGTTTTGGTAATAGGAGAATCACACCTGGTTAAAAGAAGCATGGCCATGGATGTTTCTCTAAAGGGGTGCAGTAAGTGGTAATTCATATTCCATGACAGAGGGTTTTTTTTTTAATTAATTGGCCATATCTCGAGGTATCCTCAGTGTACTTCAGATAGAGTTAATCACCCTGTTTTGTTCATTACCTTTCAGAGCCAAGCAAACACTTAACAGAATCCACAGTGGACTCAACGTTAGCATCCTTCCCACAAAATAACAATGAAGCATATCTAGAGACACTGAATCAGCCCTCCGGAGAACTCCACCTTTCAGGGTATGTGCCAAATGGACAAATATTTATTTAGCATTAATTTGTTCCTGTAATTAATAAGACCAATTTTGTTTTTGTCAGGCATGGCTCTCCTTTGAAATCAAACTCTGCTTTATCAGCCTTTCCTCACCCTTCTAGTAGTCCTCCACAAAAGCAATGTTTGGTAGATGAAACAGGCCAGTTAGATAAGTTCAGTCAGCAGAATTCCTCACCAAGTAAGTAAAACTGCAGGAATGTTTTGAAAGAAATATTGTCTGATTGTTTGTAGCATAGGATGTCACTTTATTACACATACTTTGTGTTTGATTTTTTTTCCAGTTGTGTTTACTAATAGCAGATGCAGATGCAAATGCTGAATTTGTTATTTTGTAGCCAAAATAATGCTACTGAGAAATAGGATGGAGATAACAACTTGCTTAGCAGAAATTTATGGGAGGTTTACGGAAGGGAAGGATTAAGGGGGAAACTGCCCAAACTTGAACTATTTGGATATATGACTGTAGAAATAAATAGCTACAGGTTTACAGATAGCTCCAACTTTTCTTTCAGTCACTCCTGTTTGGATCTTAAAATTTTCACAACCTTCTCTGTGTATATAAAAAACAGGCTATATTTATTATTTGGTGCCTTATTGGCAACATTTAGTTCTCACAAAGCAAACCTGCTCTCCAGACAACAGGACAGGACTATTACAACTGAAGTGGAATTGGTTTGTTGGTTAAAAAACAGCCCTTCTCCAATAAGAATATTTTATATACTTAGATTTTTTTCCCCTTGGATGTTCTCAACCCCTGCCGTCCCACACTAACCTCAGCTTATTTCCTTTTGGGAGGATTTTCTGACCTCATGGAGAGCTAGGCATGGAAGCTGGTTGGGAGGCAGAAGGGGTCTCAGCTTATGGCTTTCAAAAATAGCACCCTCAGAATAAGAGGAAAGTGACATTTTGCCTGGTACCCAGCCCTCTGTCTCAAGAACTGTAGGAATATTCCCTGAGGTAGTGATCTTAGGCTCCATGGGAAGGGGGTTAAGGGCCAGAGGATAATACAAAAGTGTCCCTCTGCCAGCAGAGGGGAAGGCCCACCCGCAGGATGGTACGTCCCCTCCCAATGTGCCTCCCGACTGTGCACGTTGAAGCATAGAAAGCTTCATTGTTGCTGCCCTGCTGGTAGGAGGATCAAAATAGGATACATTGAAGTTAATGCAATACTTCTCAGATTCATTGTCAAGTTAACACTTGAGTTCTTCAGAGTCAAGGAAATAAAAAACTATAGCTACACAGCTGAAAAGAACATGAACAGATAAAACTGCCGTATTCTGTCAAACTACTGGACTGTTTGGGTCAACATTTGATTTAGTGGGGTCTCAGGTGGGAGATCCTCTCCAAGGCACTGGAGCAAAAGATACAAGTGACTTTCTTTAGGCAAAGTACGTGCTAATTAGTTGTGCTCCGTCTTTGCCATGTCAGCTTTCTGTTAGGGCAGTGTTTCTTAAACGTTTTGCTCTCAGGACCCCTTCCCACTTTTAAAAATTATGGAGAACCCCAAAAGAGCTTTTGTTTGTATGGTTTATATTTATCAATATTTACTGCATTAAAAAATCATTCATAGAATATATATTTATTGAATCATGTAAAAATAGCAATATTAAGCCCATTAAATATGAACATAAATAAAATATTTTTTCATGGAAAAAAACTTTTAACTAATAAGAAATAACAATGAGAAGAGTGACCTTGTTTTGAATTTTTGCAAATATCTTCAATATCTGGCAAATAGTTTTGAACTTGCAGACCCCTGAGAGGGTCTTGGGGGAGCCCCAGGGGTCCTCAGACCACACTTGAAAAAACACTGCAGGGCCATTCAGTATGAAGAGACACAAATGTGGCCCCTGGCTGCAGCCACTGAAAACAGCTGCATTATTTCCCAGGATCACCCGACAGATAACTGTGCAATTTCAGGAAAAGATGCAGCTGTTTTAAACAGTTGCAGACTGAGATTATGTTCATTCCCCTGGAATGAACATCTGGTCCAAAGCACCTTTTTTAAAAAAAATAATTTTTAAAGCATTGCACAGCCTTAATATCCATGTGTCCATCTAGTGTGCTGAAAACAAAACTGTGACCCAAAATCCTGGAGTTAAGGTTTGGGATTTCTCTGTGCGTTCTTTCTGTGTGGTTTAAAAGATGAGTGTTTCAAAAATATTGACTATATTACTTGATAGCATGAAAATGGACTTCATAACTTCATAACAATAACTTCAGCTTTCTTACACTTTTACTGTTCTTCTTTTTCAGGAGATAATGAAAACTCAGCTGTAGAATGGACATTTTACCCAAGTTCTGGTAATCATACTTACCATACAGGAAAAAGATGTTTGTTTCATGGTATCCACCTCCGAAATAAGTCTACATTTTCTGAAAGGACTCTGGAAATGTCCATAGGGAAGAAGAAATATGGTATAGCCTCAAAAGCCTTCTATTTTTGTTACTTAATCCTAACAGCTTAAAGCATGGTTGTTATTCCAAGCATTGGAATTAAGCTTTCAAATATCCATATACAAATTTTCCATGGTGAAAAGTGATTGGTAGGATACAAGATCTGAAATACTGAGAACCACTGATGTATGCAAACCTTTGGACTAATAAGTCTGAGTTCTTTTTGCAAATAAGCAGCAAATTGTTATTAAAAAAAACTATGAGGCTAATGAGCCTCATTCTGAATTATTGATGACATATTGTGTTTCAAATAGATCTTTAGCCAAAAGAAGAAATATACTTTCAATTAAATTCATGTGTTCCGATATACACACATACACTTATAGAAGAACAGCTTGCTAAATATAAATATATCCAAATTGCTCAAATGTCAGAAAATATGCTTGTGGTCAAGATGCCTTCTTCACTTCTACTTTTGTTTTTAATACCAGTGGATGAAACTTCCTCCCGAAACGGCATTCCAATGAGGATGCTCGGTGACCATCCATTTTCTTCTCCTGAGCAAAGTACAGACTTCCACAAAAAGGGATCAACAATATCTCCAGTGAATTTTGGAAGGCAAGTTCTTACCTGATAGCTTCTTTTTTAAAATTAAGTCACTATACCTCCTTTGCTTATACAAAATCATTGAGGCAAGATTTGGTGGATTACATGGAAAGATGGAAAATTGTGGGAAGGAGCTACCTACCTTTCTGATTTCCCCACCCCACCCCGTCCTGCTGCTGTTGCTGCTGCTGTTGCTGTTGCTGCTGCTGTTGCTGTTGCTGGAGCAGAAAGCAGGGGAAAAGGAAGGGAAGCAGTGGAGAGCGGGTCTTTGCAAAGCGAAAGGGGAGGTAAACAGGCAGGCCCATAAAAAACTTAGGACTCTTCCAATTAATCCAATGAAGCACTGGTTGTGACTATTTGTAGTTCGGTTACTTTTCTTTGAAATATATTCACAGCTGACATTACTGTCCTTGAAGTGTGAACCACTACTGAGGTAGAGCATACCCCTGATATTGTTGGAGGTTTTGGGTGTGCATGGAACATTCCTGAGAGCCAGAATCGGACCTGAGCAAGGACTTGTCAAGCAGGTTTTATAATTATAACAGAAAGGAGATTATGTATAGGAAGTACATTATAGAGATCAGCAAAGCCTAGCACCTAGCTAACTACATCCTCCCAGGAGGAGAGTCAGAGAGCAAGGACTCTGCCTGAGTGTGCCTGGGCACCAAGGCAGAAGGAAGTGACCTGCGGTTAGCAATCTCTTAGAGAAAGGGCAGGCAGAGTGAGGAGACAAAGAGGGGACCTGGAGTAAATCCTTCATTCACTGCACTGCTCCCTACCTACACTTCCAAAAGATATATAGGTCAGTGATATTAAAAGTTGAAAAGGACGAATGAAGGAACACTTTTGAAAGATGCAACTGTCCTTAATTCTGAACGAAAGACCAGATCTGCAAAGATTTCTCTTTGAACAATGATAGGTAAAGGCACTGTATACAAACACAGGTTATCTTTCAGATTACATGTATATTGTTGAAAAGAATTACAGTTTCAGATAGGCTTTAGTAAGATGTCTAACGAGTCAAATTTTTGCATGTTCTGTTCCCCAAGCACTTTGGCCAGACTTTAACAACAATGGTATTATTTTCATTTAATGAAAATAATATGCAACAAAATGAAATAATTGGGTTCTTTTGTATCACACATTTCTCCCCCATATATATGTAAAAATAATACTGTAAAGGATGTAAATATTAAACATCATGTAGCAGCATATATTTTGAGATCACCTGCATGTGGTTTGAACTGGAACTAAGCAAGAAAATGTAAGTATAACTGTAACTATAAATAGAAAATGCTAGGCTTCCTAAACATGAGAAGCCAAGTAGAAACTCCATCTTACTGCCAATGCACACAAAAAGTAGCTCTTCCTTTCCTTCAATTAACATGCAGTAAGAAATGTGGATTTTGTTTTTGCATATCAATGTTTCATGGTAAACTGCTTAGGAAATTGCAAACATTCCTAATGCAGCGATATACGGTAATCAAAGCAGGAAGAGGCATAACCGGACCCAAAGACCCCTCAGCTCAATGTCTTTTGTTTCCTTTTAATAGTTTTAGGTATAAAAAAAGGTCAGATACCTTTATTCCTCTCCAGCGTTTGTCAAGAACTTCTTGGTATGTATCACATATTTTAAGTAACATTTATTTTTTTCTGCAGCTTTCATTGTATATACTTGTATTATTCATTTCTAGAAGTTACCCACTGCATTATTAGCTACAGTGGATTTTGACATTTTCTACAATATATTGAAATGTAATATACAGCAATGTAACTTCAGTAATATCCCCTATCATTTTGTACCTTGGTTTGAGTACCTTCTTTGAAAGAAGACTAGGGTCACAGTATAGAATTACAAAAGGAAGAAAGTCAATGTGGGACTATCTTGTAATATTTACCAGATTTAAAACTGGCTGAGTATATATCATTTTTAATACAGGTGGTCGTTCAAACTTACAACAGCGCTGAATGAGTGGTAGTTACAACTGGACCTTGTACTTATGGCCATTGCAGCATCCTGCGGTCACGTGATTGCGATTTGTGGCCTTCCCTGCTGGCTTCCACAAGCAAAGTCAATGGGGAAGCCAGCAGGAAGTCGGAAGTTGCAGTCATGTGAGGTCCTACTCACACTGTCCTCATTGAACAACAGCAATTGGGACTGCTGGAACTGTTATTCCTAAGCAGCGCAGTCATGTGGTTTTTCGACTTACAACTTCATTGCTTAATGATGGGGTTTCTGGTCCCACTTAGCATAATTAAATGAGGACTACCTGTAGGCATATGTAACTCCAAAGTACTGTTGTTTTTTAATGACCATTTGTGGTTCTTTGTAAAATCTGAACATTGTAAACTAGAGACATTTATAATATGGGAGTTATTCAGACTGATAGAAATCACTAGACACATCACCTACTGATTTGATAGCTGTGATTTTTCATGCCCTACCATTCCCAATTGTTGAGGTTGTCCTAATCGCACAGAGCTCTTAGTATGGTCTGGTTCACTCCATACTGGTTCACTCCATATATGTTAACAGTATCACTCCATGATAAAAATAGACAAGTGGGCACCTTAATCCTAATACAAAAGCTGATTTATCTTCATGTAGAAAGTTTCATTTAAAACAAGGATGAGTAACCCATGACATACAGGAACCATATGGGTCCCAGCCTTTCTCTCAAGGTCATCCCACTGAAAATCTCTGGTACAAAATCATGCTGCTGGTTGTATATGTATTAAGCCTACAACAGTGCACATCTGTAAGACTAAACATCCATACTTCAGTTTGTACAAATAAACAAAAATTCTAACTCTGCCCTCTGTAGTGCTATAATCAGTAGCCTTGGCTACTAATAATAGTAACAGTAACATTTTAAAAAAATGTTCTTCCTCTGTGCAAAAAGCTTGCCCATAACTAATGATCAATTTCTTATTTTCATTTCTTGTTTGTAAAATTATTATTTTGACTTTATTGAAAAAATATCTAATGTTATTGAAGATTAGATTGTTTTAATCAGACCTGAACTATATTTGCATTGGAGTAAAAATATAGCTTGGTAGCACTTTAAAGTAGTACTATCATATCAAGGCTTAAAAAAAAAATGCAGATGACCACTAGATGGCAGCAAAAACAGACCAAAAGCTTTGACCATTTGCTGCCATCCAGTGGTAATCCATATTTGAGCAGTCCAGATCTAGCAGTTCTACTTTAAGATTATCTAATTTATTTCCGCAAGAGCTTCAGTCTATGAAACTGAAAGCAACAATTGATTTCTGCCTAGCAAAGCTATATTATATCTCATAGCCCTATTCAGCTTCTGCTCAGAAGTACATTCTATTGAGTGCCATTGGACTAGATTCTCAGCAATACTGTAGTCTGTCATTAAAATGTTATGGAACCTTTGTCTGAATAAAGTTTGTAGTTATAACCTTGACAGGGTCAGAAGAAAAAATAATCCACTGGGCAATTGGAAATATTTTTAGTGTTAGTATACTGAGAGTATGATATTCTCTATGTAATTTTTCCATAATGTTAACATGATGCCAAACACACTTGTGTTTTGCTCATGCCTTTGCAGCAAACCTGAGATAAAAATCTGTGGTTATTCAAACAATGAAGCAAATTATCTTAGGACTGCTTCTTTAGAGAACCTTATGTGCTGGTGGGAAAAAACCTATTTTGACACAGCAATGTTTCCAGTATTTTGGGACAGAAACAGAAAAATGTCAAAATAATCTAGAGAGCAAAATGTTTCTTGGCAGATAATTAAAAAGGCAAAAGCTAGTGCCCAAATGAAATTAATATACATAAAATTTGCATATGCTAATATATATGCAGTAAAGGTGAAAGTTTAAATCAATTTCAAGTGAAAAAAACACTTACTGTGAGCTAGAGAATGCCAACAGCATTTTCTGGATTGTATATATAGATACATTTATGCTGTAACTGCAAATAGTAAGATTAATCCCAGTCCATCTTTCAGAGATGTTTTAAAAGCTACCCAGATTTAAATGCACAAATATCAGAAAGACTGTCTACCATGGGGATATGTATGGGTCCAAGTTCACATACTTGTTGCATTCTCCCAACTCTGAACAAATATCCTCATGCAGTAAATGCCAGCATAGAATTGTACAGTATACACTGTATAATATGGAGTATTAATCATATATGGATGATTAATTTGTTACACAGGACTGCCTTCTATGTAAGCAACTTTGTTTCACATAAAAGGACAGTAAGAACAATACCAAAAGTGGGGTCAGATCCCTATGGAAATTGAGGAATCTGATGGGTGTTCTTCTTCATGCCAGATTGCAGCTGCCTCATGTTATGATGGGAGGTTTTTAACATATGGAAAATGAACAGTGACTAGACTGGGTGACCGGCCTTGGTGGAGTTCTCTTCTTTAAATATGGACCAGCTTCAACAGGACAAAATAGGTGGCTTAGAAAAAAAAAAAAATAGCTCAGGAAGCTCAGTGATAGAAAAAGGAATCTTGGAAGGTGATTCCTTATACATTTAGAACATAGTTCTAAAAGTTCCTTTGTTCTACTCTCCTGCTTTTAGTTTCCATTGAATTTTGTTTTTTCCCTTCTCGTGGCTAAAGCCTGTCCCAGATCAGGAAAATGAATCCAGAAGATAGGAAATACCTACAAAGAATTTCGGCTGATAGGACAAGTTTCAAGATAGCAACTATATTTGGACATTTCTTAAACCCTTTTGATCAGTTTGACTATGTAACAGAATTTGTATCTGAATTGGCAAATCATATAACATGAAAATATGTGAGCAGATTAGTCCATGGTCATCCAGATTATTTAAACCTGCTAGTTATCAGAGCTAACTACATTTTTTGACAATCTGCCACAGTGCACAGAAGAACTGAGGCTGTGACCCTTGGCTGCATTCTGATTAAATCATCAGACTCCCTTGATTTCTTAGATCAGTTTCTGTAGTTTGTCTACTAAGCTGGGGGAGATGAGCGGCAAATAAATAAATAAAAACAAACAAACAAACAAACAGGCATTTATATGTATATAAAATAAAGAACTAAAATTCATTTTATCATTATGGCCAGATACTCCGAATATAATGCCATTATTTTTTTTTTTGTAAAGCCACGTTCTTCAAGAATATTAAAACTGGCATAAGCATTTTACTATAAAGTAGTTAGGTACATTTAGGATTTAGTGATGGAAAGAACTAGCCTAATCAGGTTTAGAACTGGGCTGGAGGGATTTTTTTTTTTTTTGGAAAATGATTTATTCTAAGTTCAGCCCCATTATTCTTCATTATGCCATTAGAGGGCAACTGGGGTTGGCTATCCCCCGCTAGACTCTAAATAACAATGCAGTTACCCAGCTTCCATTGATTTGGGGTCCTAATGGTAGCAGCCTCTCCTGCTGCTGATTAGTTGGGAAAAATAGTTTGTATATATTTGGGAAGGGGGCAGTTTTAAAGCTCTTCATTGTTTGCCCCTAACCACAACATCAACATGCCTGGTAACAGCTTTTTCCTGCCATGTCCTGATGATATTGCCTTCATGGCATCGCCAGCACCTCCCTGAGGCAGCTTAAAGTTGTTCCCGTTTTAAATAGTGCTTTCTCTCTTCTCCCAACAGTTTTTGTGCATCCGGTTTGACATACTCTCTGACAGCTGGATTGCTAATCCCTATTGGCTCCTTCAGGCTGCTGTGGGCAGAGCCCTTGCCTCTCTAGCCATGGAGCACTGCCCTCTATGGCCATCTCAGCTGCAGGGCAGACTGGACACTTGGCTCCTGCAGAACAGCATTTTCCACAGTTCTTGTTAGGTCTCATTGTTATCCCTATAAATTAGACCAGACTACAAAACTGAAGCCATATAGGTCAGGACTACTTTTATTGTAAAGCTATAGTAACAGAATCTTGCAAGTCTGAATGTGCTTCCCCCTCCCTCACTTCATCTTCATGTCAATGAGGGAGGGGCTTGTCTGAGATGTTTCTCAGAATAGTTTCTTGACCAGGGCTCCTCTCACCTGACCATTCCTTGGTAGTGGCTCTTCCTCCTGTCCTTCATTCCCTATGCCTTCTACACTTATGAGGGCTTCTTATACCTTGTAGCCCTGTGTTGCTGTAATGGTATGTGAGAAAGACCTTGAGAAA